CCTCAGTTGTTTACTCAGCAATCTACAAAACACAGTAGTTAGCACTGACCTTTCAGGATCCTTGTAAAGCTGAAGTAAATGATGAGATAATCTATACAACATGAAGACTATTGGACACACTGCAGTACCAAATGTTGCCTTGAAAATAATTTTTAAAATCTGATTCTCTGTTAGTTGAATTGCAGGAGAATTTAGGCAGCCATACTTAATTAAGCTTTAGGGAGCTTATGTAGGGAGCATACTTAAATAAGTCACTTACTTAGGAAGCTCTCGTGTCCTAGTAGCAAGAAGCTGTGGTGCAATCCTGAAGGCACAGGTTTTGAGGCCACCAGATGCTCCACTGGAGAATGATAGGTAATGTTTTCCTGTGTGAATAACTGTCTCTGAAACCCGCCAAAGGGTCAGCTATGGCTCGGTTCTGACTCTATTGTATACAATAACAAAATATTTAAGCCGTAGAATTTCTGACTTTTCCCCAGTTTAAGAGTATTTTATTATTAGTTTGTCACTTCTGCCATTATACAAAATAGGTATCTTGAGTTTTCTGAAAATCACTGAGAGTGATTCCCTTTATATCAGAATGTGCTCTTGGGGTACAGTTAGCAAGAGGGTATAGAGGAAGCCTTTCTTTTGGTACATGCCACTCACCCTTGTGTCTTTACGTGACAGGGGAGTGAGACATTGTAAGAGGGAGACATTGATCTTTGGTTATTTATTCAGCTCAAATCTATAAGTGGGTTTATTTTTTCACTTCCAAACTACTCTCCAAGCTTAGTCTGGAGAATAGTTGTGTGAGTGTTATGCATGGACATTCTGGATAATCGTTAGCCATACACACAACCTTGTGTTACTGAACTTAAACCAATACTTAGATTCTTTCATATTACTAGATAAACTAACTGTTAGTAGAACATTAAAGTGTGTAGCTTTTTTTTATATCTCTGAGACTAGATTTATTATTTCCCTTGTAGCCTCAATAAATAGGACTATTTAATAATATTCCCAAGTGGAAGTTATATTTAGAGACTATTTGCACATTTTATCTTATATGGTCTATAAAACTAAGATAACTTTCAGAAAATATAAAAACAATATAACCAGTAATTAAATCGGCTGGGGGGCATGCATAGTCTCACAGTCATTGCCACTAACACTATTTTTCACTATTTATAGATGCATATATATTTGTGTGTGTGTATATATATATATATTAAGAAAAACTTCTCCAGTAGGGTAAAAAGGGAAGCCACTGACTGGGAAAAAGTATTCGGTAATAACATATCAGATAAGGGACTTATATCCAGAATTTATGAAATACTTGAGCACCACAACAAGATAAAGGTAAATAATCCAATAGAAAAATGGGCACAGGATATGAACAGGCACTTCACCGAAGACGACATTCAGATGGCTAACAAACACATGAAGAAATGCTCAAAATCCCTAGCCCTAAGAGAGATGCAAATTAAAACAACTATGAGATATCATTTCACCCCAGTCAAAATAGCAAAATTTAACAGAACAGCAAGCAACAAATGCTGGCGAGGTTGTGGAGAAACTGGAACCCTGATTCACTGTTGGTGGGAGTGTAAAATGGTGCAACCCCTGTGGAAAGCAGTATGGCGCTTTCTCAAAAAGTTGCAAATAGAGATACCATTTGACCCAGCAATTCCACTACTGGGAATATACCCTGAAGAGACCATAGCTGACATCCAAGCAGATATATGTACACCCATGTTTATTGCAGCTTTGTTCACAATAGCAAGGAGTTGGAAACAACCTAAGTGCCCATCAACAAACGAATGGCTAGAGAAGCTGTGGTATATTCGCACAATGGAATACTATGCTGCATTAAAAAACAAGGAACTCATGCAATATTATTCAAAATGGTTGACTCTGGAGAACATTATGCTGAGTGAAATATCCCAGTCAGAAAAGGACAAATATTACATGATGCCACTGTTGTAGAATGGGACTGTCCTTGGGGTTGGGGAGAGACTGAGTAAGATGGGTTCAATAATGTATACGGCACTGAAACAGAGGAGGGAGAGAACCGTCTAAAAGAGAGATGTAACTGGGTATTTCTGTCATCACAGGAGACTAGAGCGAGGGCTGCATGGTGGAGGGGACCTGGGGGAGTGTTTGTAAAACAATGAAAGAATCTTTTCTTTTACTTTTCCATAATTTTTGGACTCATGTACTTATAACTTGTTAGTCAAATTTGTGTCTTCTAGGTTGCAACACCCCCATGATACATCTTGAAGGATATGTACATGTACAGCCAAGCACAATCAATAAGAGTGCATCTGAATTCCAAAATCAATCTCCATAATAGTCTATGTGTTTCCTACTGCCAAAGGGGCCCTTTAGAGTAGTGAGAGAAGATCTTCACCCTGAAACCCACAGCGTCCCTTTTCAGCAGGAAGTAGCTAAGAGAATACGCCGTCCCCTTTTCCTTATGAATCAGGGTGAAGTCTCTCTCAGGGAGGAGTGATAGGGAATGGCAAAGGATACACTGACAAAGAAGATTAATCAGAACTGGCTTTGACAAGCACTGTGGCATTTGGACAAGAACAAACTGGGAGGAGGGTAGAGAGAATAGTGCAACAATGAATGAGTGGAAGCCCAAAATCTCTGTAAATGTTTATGAAAATTAATAAAATATAATTATAGAAAAAAAAAGAATAAAGGAATTCATGCTTTTATCCTTATTTTATAAATGTAAAAGCTAAGACTCAAACACTAACTCTTCAGTCTTTATTAAAATACCTCTCCTGTTATTTTGCATAAAACTATAAGCACCTTATGATTAAAATTTAAGCTTAAATAATTTCCTTTACCTCATTTACATTTTGACCATCATGTAGCTAATGCAAGTAATAGTTAGAGAAAGCTACAGCACTTTCAACTCCATTTCACTCCACTCTGCTCTTTGTTATTCATCTTGGTTTCCATCTGATAATGGAGTTTCTTTTGCACACAAAATGGACTGTGGATCCTGTACTTTCTGCAGACATAAAGCCATCATTCTCCTCTGTTACTAGACCTCTGATCTGCAGCATGGGCACGCAGCATTTTCATGGGAGTGACATGTTTGTGATGCTCAAGGCACTCAATCAGTACCCTATTGCATTTGACTCTCCATGAAGGCTTGGTGGGAACCTCCTGTCATATCCAGTGTGTCTTCCTACCTGTCCAGTTACTTTTCTGTGTGTCTGTGTACAATCAAGAAGGTGTCAAGTCCAATGGTCAGAGAGACCTTAGATCAAAAACCAGTTTGATTTCAGTGTATCCTTGGATCCCCAGGTAGATGTGACAATAATTTCAGTTAACTTTCAGGACCTTAATGCAAAAGGTTTATTACACACTGGATGTGAATTGCACATTGAACACTGAAAGTATACACATAGTTTATTCATTCCATTCTCACTTTTTAGCTGGGTTCAGAGGAGGGAAATAATACATAATAACACATAATACTGTGATTTAAATATCTTTAAATATTCTCCTGATTAAAATAGCTGATGATTATCAATAGAAATTATTGGAATAATAATTATGATAATTATTAAATGTTATTGAGATAATGACAATTAACAGAAATGATTGGAAATATTATTGATGGAGAGTTTATTCCACTGAATGCTCTCTTCTTCCTTTACTGGTCCACGTGAACTTAAACTCATATTTTGAGATTAAAAGAAAAACACATAATGCATTTAACATTGAAGCTTGCCCCAAAGTCTGATAAGTACATGTAGTAATTAATTTTTTCATCATTAACTTTCAAACCCTTTTTAAGTATATTAATTTTAAAAATATTTTTGTCTGCTGACTCTACTATAATGTAAAGCCTCTTAGTTTGAAGGTCTTGGGCTGAGGGCTGGTATGTGCATCCATAAGTTCTCTGCCCATTTAATTCTGCCCTTTTAATTCAAGCACACTCACAATCATTGCATGGGGTCAGTCTGTGAAGAATTATGCTTTTATATGTGTATGTGTTTGCTCGCTTGCTAAGTGCTTTCTATCATTTTGCTTTCTCAATAACTTCAGATTCTGGAACGCACACTTGTAATGTTTTGATTCTCCCCCCTCACTAAACTCCTTAGGAACTGGAACTCAGCTTTCATTGTGTCATGTTGGTTATTGTTTGTTTCCTTCTTCAAGGTTCCATTTTCAAAGGGACTTCTGACAAAGATGCATTTAAATGTCAAATTCCAGAATTCTTTTCTGAGGCTCCATTCTTACCCCACAACTATTTTTCCTTGCTGTCAGGCTCCTCCAGTGGTTATGGAACACTGTTCTTCAAGGCCACCTTCTGGTGTGAAATTTCAAATCAACTTCACTTGCCATTTTCTGGTCCTCTGGCAGAAATATCCCAACCAATCACATCACACAGATCTCCTTTAGATTTCTGAAGTCATCTTCACCTCATTTTAGTCAAGTTGATGATAGAGTTAATAAAAATGAGTCAATGGACATTTTCTAGTAATTAAGACCATAATGTTCACAGATACCCTTACATTTGTAGTGATTGATACCCTTACTTGTCCCTGTTTATATATTCATGGACTTCTGTGGCCAGACACTGGGAGCAAAGCAAATACCCAAATACCCATCAACTTTTGTAGGAGATGTGAAGTTCTTGCCTAAATATATCCTGGGGCGGGGGGGTGGGGGTGGGCAGTGGGGACAACAAACAAAGAAAAAAGGTTAAGCTTTAAGATTATTTGTAAAATGTTGCCAATCCCGTGCTGTTCCCTATAACAGAGATAAATATGAGTTGTAATATTTCAGTGTCTTTTCTTACTAAGGAAAAAAAAGTACACTTCTATCTGCCAAGTGCATTGTCTAATGGGCTTCAGATAGAAAGTGATTATTATTTGTGACTGCTTTGGGGTGAGAATGATGTCAGATGCGAGTGTGGTGGAGGTGAGACTGGGCAGGGGATCACTGCAGTGCTTGGTGGGTGACGCTGGGTCCGCTGGTCTTTCTTGCAGGGGAAAAGGTGCTTCAGGACGATGAGTTCACCTGTGATCTCTTCCGTTTCCTCCAGCTTCTGTGTGAGGGACACAATTCAGGTTTGTGCATTGCCAGACTGGTAGCAACAAAAAAGAAATGGTGATGGTATGTTTTTAGCATCAATGAAGTAATAGAGAGCATTATATTTCTTTCTTGGGGATATTGAAAACCAAATCGTGGCCAGTGAGAGCATTCTGATTCATGGATTCATGGTGATCCATGGATATCATAATAGTGCTTCACAGCAGTGGTTCCAATGACTGATACTTCAGAAGGTGACTTTTTTCTCAGGGTAAACTTGAATCTCTAGCCTTTTGATTAATAGCTGAGCATGGTAACAATTTGTCACCCTCAGGGGCTCCTTGAGACCTTGTTGCTGTTATGTGCCATCAAGTCAACTACAACCTATAGCAGCAACTCTACAAACTCTCTGAACCTTGTCCTTTCCTGAGCCAACCTCACTGTCTCGAACACACCTCACCTCATTGCCAGTCACTATTTCATTCCACCTCTCCAGGGTCTTCGTCTTCTGTACTGTCTGTCCCTCTACCTTTCTAATCATGACTTCCTTCTCTAAGGACTGGTCCCTCCTGACAATATGCCAAAAGTATGTGAGATCGAGTTTACAATCCTTGCCTTCAAGGATTTCACCCTATTTAGGACAGACCTTTTTATTCTCTTGCAGTCCATGGTATGTATGTTCAATACTCTTCTAGAGAACCACAACTCAAAAGTGTTGATGTTTCTTCGTTCATCTTTGTTCAGAGACCTTGTTGTTATTGTTGTTATGTGCTCTCAAATTATCTTCAACTCAAAGTGACCCTATGAACAATAGCTCTGAACTCTGCCCTATTCTGAGGCAATCTCATTGTTTCTAGCACATCTACCCCAAATATTGTGTTGGTCCATCTCATCCAGGATTGTCTTCTTCTACATTGTCCTTTCACTCTTGCAAGCATGAAATCCCTCTCCAAGGACTGGTCCCTCCTGGAAACAGGAGCAAACTATGTGAGAAGGAGCTTCAAAATCCTTGCCTCCAAGGAGCAGCCTGGTTTCCCCCTCTCCAGGACAAGTCTTACTGTTCTCTTCAGCAGCATGTATTTCCGTTAGTTGTTTATGCAGCTAGCTACTTACCAGGCTTTTGGATTCATCATGAAAGCAGCACTCTTGTCAGAACGTTATCTTTGTTTCTTTGGGACTGAGAATAATACTGAGAAGAAAATTATTATTAGATATCCTCAAGCATGGAAGCAACAAGAATAGGGTCAGATTTCCAAAAAGAATAGGGTCAGGTTTCCAGTTGTTCATAGAGTAACAAGGAATCATAGTCTACTTGATGGGGCCTAACAACAATCAAGTTTTCAGTCATTCAACATGCTCAGAGTAGAAATGGTAAGGGTAGAAATATAGAAATAGGTTTTGACAGTATTGAGACAAAAATAGATTATTGATATTCTATAAATATGCAATAAGATATTTGAGAAGTGGCTGCTCATTTTTCCAAAGACTCTTGGTGGCAGATGGCTTCAAGAATTGAACTGCTCTCAAGTTGTTAGCAGGTAAGTCCTGGGGGAGAAAGATGAAGCAATCCATAAAAATTGAGCCTTGGAGATGCCATGGGCAATTACATTTTTCTGCTGGTTGCTGGGAGTCAGAGTCTACTCAACAACAGTGGGTTTGCTCACTTTACGAAAAACAGAAAACATTTCAGATGCAACTAATAAGTTAAAACCAGGCTCTCAGAGTAGATCATCATTTGCTTTTATAGTTTCTCCAGTAACTGAATTCATCTGAAACTTGCGAATTTAGTAACATTTTTTTATGTTCTGTAGATTTCCAGAATTATCTGAGAACTCAAACTGGCAATAATACAACTGTCAATATAATAATTTCTACTGTGGACTACCTCCTGAGAGTTCAGGTATGGTGATTTTTTTCTTAGTTTAGATTCCTTGACATAATATAGCAGAGCTGGTCAAAAGACATGTTGGAATGAGCTTTGATTTCTAACTCAGAATTTCAGGATGTGTGTGTCTGTGTTTGTGTGTTGTGTCTTTGATCACAATATTTTAAAATTTGGGTAAAACTGTCCCTTTTGCCTTGATCTCAGATCCATTTGGCTCATTCTATATGTAGGGATTTGTTATCCATTTCTTAGTTGATAGTGTTTGAGCTCATTTGTCACCTATAAAGCATCTATGTAATATGCTCCTGCTTCTGTAGTATAGACACAATTGAGAAAGAATTTTTTGAAACATCCTTAGAAATGAGAAAGACAGACTTTCCAACAACTCACTAATTGTTCAAATTTGGTAGCTTCCAGTTGGCTTCTTTCATCTGGATTAGAAAAAGTTTGACATTTCATTTTGACACTTTACCATTTAAAAATCTCTCTGATATCAGAGTGTTCACATGTTCCCATTGTCACTAGAACTCAGAAAGTGTTGCCCTCTTAATGAAAGTCATATGCAACATTTATTTCTCATATTACCAAGAAAACCTGGGTACATTGTTTTAAACCAGCAAATTAAAATTTCCCACTCCCCCCACCTTGTATGAGTATTAAACATAACACTTTTAAAAGAAAATACATCCAAAAGTGTTAGTGGAATATATACATGACCTATTTTTTCCTTACTCTTTTTGTTTGCAAATAAATTGGAAGCTGCTCTCCTGGTTGGTAAAGTTGATTTTACTTTGCCCCCCCTTTTTTGTTGTTTGTTTACAGCTTTGTTTAAATTTACATTTTGGCAACATATTTTTTGTCAATAAATCCAACCAGTGTCTTCCAGCACAGTGACAAAAGTTGTGACTATCATGGTATTCTCATTGAAAGCATAGAATGGGATCTTTGGACAAAAGATGTCTAGGTATCTATAACCCCCCATATGTAGTTTTCCATTTTTGGCCTCTTTTTTATTCCTACCTAGTTAATACCTAATTTAGTCAAATGGATTGGCCTTTTGACTTCTTATATTTGCAAAGGTTAAGGTTCTCAGAAACAAAACATTTCTCAAAATCAAATTCTCATTTCCTTTCTTTGTGTGTTGGTGTTTTTTTAATTGAAATTTGGATGAAAGTTTACAGAAAGTTTGGATTTCCATTCATTTCCATTCCATACATTGTTGCACAATTTCCTCCCTGCCCACCCCCCCAGTTTGCTTTTCTCTTTGAAAAGAAAAAAATTATTTCCTTGTTGTCTCCCATTGTATTTCCTTCATAGATGCTTTTGACTCCAAACCAATTACTTAAAACATTTTTCAGATATATAATCCAAAACCATTTAGATCAGTGAACAGTTTAGAAAGTACCTCATTAATGTCTATTATTTCCCCTCCCAGGAATCAATTAGTGATTTTTACTGGTATTACTCTGGAAAAGATGTTATTGATGAACAAGGGCAGCGGAATTTCTCCAAAGCAATTCAAGTGGCAAAACAAGTCTTCAACACTCTTACAGAGTATATTCAGGTAAGCTCTTTTTTTTCTTTTTTATTATTAATTTTAATAAAAATTTACAAAGACTTTGGATTCCATTCATTCAGTGTTGCACTTTTCTTTCTACCCACCCCTTTCCCCCAGTTCACTCTTCTCTTTGTAAAGTAAAAATTCTTTCATTGTTATACAATCCCTTCTCCCAAGTCCACTCCACTATGAAGCCTTCATTCTGGACTCCTGTCATGACAACAATACCTAACTATATATCCCTTTTAAATAGTTCTCTCCCTCATCTGTTTCAATGCAGTATACATTATTTATCCCACCTCTCTCAGTCTCCCCCTAACCCCGATGTCAGTCCTGTTTTACAACAGTGGCACTATACAATATGTGTCCTTTTGTGACTGAGATATTTCACTCAGCATAATGTTCTCCAGGGTCACCCATTTTTAATAATATTGCATGAATTCCTTGTTTTTCAATGCAGTATAGTATTCTATTGTGTGGATATACCACAGCTTCTCTATCTATTTGTTTGTTGATGGGCACTTAGGTTGTTTCCAACTCTTTGCTATTGTCAGGTAAACTCTTAAACACTCCTCTCCACATGTGGGCCACATTCTACAGGAAAGCTTGCAGAGGGAAAGGACTATCAGCAAGACTTCTCTACACTTCTTGCTCACTTCTTCTCCTCATCTTTCCCTTTCTAGCCAGTGTCAGCCTCCTTCAAATTGGGAGTTGTGGGGCTATGAACAAATAAATAAGGGAGAGGAAAAATTTTTCCTTCATGGAACATTAATTCAAAATGGCCCCATGGCACTGCCAACTGGTATACGAGATTCTTTCCCTAACAAGGAGGTACTTGTGGGTCCTTCATAGATACATCTGCCGGATTTCAGTGGAGCAGGATGGCTCTGTTTTCTTTAACTGTCCTGCCCCATAGCGTTCCCACATCCATCTGAGCAAAGCACAGTCCATGCCATTCTCATGACTGGATACACATCCAACTGTTGTACTCTAGAGGGTTTTCACTAACTTCTTTTGATGAGTAAGTTGCCGGGTCTTTTCTTCTAACCAGTCTTGGGTTGGGAGCTCTGCTTCAGCAGAGCTGTCAGCATCCAAGCCTCCATTGACATGGGAGTGGTGGCTACTCTTGAGGTACAATGGCCAGGAATCTAATTAGAATCTCCCTTGCAGACATCAAGAATTCTACCACTGAACCAGCCATCTCCCCAAGCACTCCGTTACTAACCCACAAGAGAGACATAGCTTTCTTTTGTCATCTGTGGAAGCACATTTTGTACTTTCACTTCTGTCACACTTTCTAATACTAGGCAGTCATGCTGCACCATTGGGGAGACAAAAGGCAAGCTCTCTTCCCAGTCTTTTGCAGCCTTACTTAGTGGGCATGCAGACATGACCCCTCACTTCCTCTCCCCCACTGCATTATGGGTAGGAAATAGACAGTCTTAGAATTTGTGAGAGCTCTTTCTAGTTTAATCCTTTCAGCTTCAATATTTTTTATCTTTTTTCTTGTTATTATGTGCCACAGAGTAATAGCTGATGCTCCATTGGGTTTTCAGAGGCTATAAATCACACTTCAAGAAAGTGTCCATATTTTTCTTACAGAGCAGCTGGGGGATTAGAACTATCTGCCTTTGTGTTGGCAGCACAAATTTTTACCACTAGACCTCCAGGGCACTTTTTGTTTGTTTGTTTTTGTGTCTTTAGAATAGAAAAACTTACTTTTGGATACTCATTTGTGGATCCTGAGTGTGACATCACAGCTTTAGAATATGGTTCTACTTGACGCTGGCTGGTTTTTAACTCTCAGCTTTAATGACCTTGTTAGACATAGATACAGAAAAAAAAATGAGTATCAGCATTTTTGTAGTGTCTCTATCTTCTAGGACTTGCTTCTACCATAAAATTTTAAATGCTAGAGTCTACTTTCCAAGTTAAACTCCATGAGATCATAGTTAAAAGAAATTAATTAGAATTTTAAAATTGTGTTTTCTTTTGACTTAAAATACATGAAATATCTGCTATTTGTTTACCCAATTGTTGTGGGGATGTTTGCAAAACAGTTGAAAGACTAAAATATCGAAGGAGATTTCTTTCTTCTTCCTGTGTGAATGTTCTCTTAACCTTACTATTTAAGGATGAGGAAGCTCTAGTGGCCTAGTGGGTAAGGAGTTGTTCACCAACCCAAATCCACTGGCTGTGCAATTTGCAACTCCTGAAAACCCTAGGAGGGTCAGCTGTGATTCAGTTCTGACTTAGTGGCATTTAGGAATGAGAAGTAATCAGATTATTTTCTTTTGAAGTAAATAGTTGCTGGTTGATTTGATAACTACAGCATAATACTTTTGTCCTCTAAATAGAAGAAACTCAAGCTCAACAACAATGAAATGATCTATCACTCTTCTGTGCTGGGTTTCTATTACTCACTATAAAACAGAACTAGGAAATCCTTGAAGAATCTGTTTTGCACATTGTTGTTGATGGTTGTTATGTTCTGTCCAGTTGGAACCAATTATAGCTGACCCTCTGATGGATTTTCAGAAGCTGTAAATCACATGGAAGGGGAGTACCTACCTTTCTCCCTCAGAGAAGCTGATGGACTTAAACCATGTGCATTTGAGTTGGGTAGTCCACCAGAGCTCCCTTTTTGTCTTTTCATTTTGGGGATTATAATATTAAATTATTTCAAAGGATCCTAGGAGTGTGGCTCTGTTGTTCTGGTAATGCCTCTCTTTTCTTGAGGGTCTCTGTGTTTTCAGATAAGTTAATTTTACCTCTGCTCTTGTGAAGGTGCTTTGCAGTGAACTGATCAGGAACAATTGTCTGGCTGTTTTGTTGCAGGGTCCCTGCACTGGGAATCAGCAGAGTTTGGCCCACAGCAGGCTCTGGGATGCTGTGGTGGGTTTTCTTCACGTCTTTGCACACATGCAGATGAAGTTATCTCAGGTAAATTACCTGCCTCTTACCCCTTACATAACCTGGAGAACTGGGATAACTAGCAAATGAGCCAGGCTTATTAGGAGCAGTATCTTTTTAGATCACTTCTGTGTAAATTTTTTTTTTTACTCTCCATTAGCCATCTAGTGCAGGAACTCTGATAGCATAGTCTGTAATGAGTTGACCACTGACCTCTCTGATGGTTCGAATTTACCACCTGCTCCTAGGGAGGAAAATAGGCAATCTCCTTCTGTGCAATGTACAGCCTCCAAAAGCTGTTCTGAGTATTCCCAGCTTGACAGCAATGAGAGATATGAGAACCATGCATTTGTATAAATAAAAGAATATTTTGCAGCTGAAAAAATGATGAAGGTCATTTTCCCAATTTATGAACAAAGAGATTTAAGCAATTAAAGGTAATGGAGAAATGAAAGAATCTAGTCCTCAAATGTGTATTTCACTGTCCTTCAAAGACCCTTTTTCTCATCCTTGTTCACGGAACTACCCCAATACAAAGCATAAAGATCTTTGAAAAGAACTTGCAGGATGTTACCACTGAGATTGGTAAATTGAAACCATTTTCTTTGAAGTTTGTCAATAAGAAGCTTTTCTCAGTAGGTCACATTGGCGCATTAAAGGAAATTTAACTTTACAAAGACAAGGAGGGGAAAACAAAAACAGCTCTAAAAATAAGCAAATAAACAATACACACACAGTTTCACAACGTTCTAGTTTTAATTTGTGAGTGCATTTTGAAAACAGCACTGTTTTCCTACTCTTGTATTTATTTAATTTAAAACTATGAAACACATGAATAGAAAAATTCTCTCCTTAAACCTTAAGTTAGTGTGTCCATTTACTGCATCAACGTTTGTGTTTTCTGCGGCAGATCTGCCAGGTCTTGTGTGGTCCCAGTGGTCAGCCCAGAGTGAGAATCAAGGTAGAAAGACTGAGAGTCCAAGTCCGCACCAAGTCCTACCCTGTTTCAGGAGTGAGGGTTGTCTCTTCTCTTCCATAAGCTTCACTCTTTCTCTGGTGTGATTAGAATGTGGTCCTCTCATGGCAAGTCAGAAACAACTCATAGATGACTCTCCATCAGGTTTTCCGAGACTGTAAATCCCAAGATTGCCCATCTTATGCCCTCAGAGTAGCTGGTGGGTTCAATCTGCCTGCCTTTGGGTTGCTAGAACAACTTCTTACCTACTAGGCCGCCAGTACTTCCTACATATATCTAGTTAATGAGAATTTAAATCATTGCGAGTCAGAGCCAGAGCAATGGCAAAGAAATCAAATATGGAAACCCCATAATTCTTTAAACTAGTTACAGATGTAATGTTAAATTAAAGAAAAGCAACACCAAACAAATTTGGGCATTGACAAACAGGCTCTCATTCTTAATTTTGGTCATTTTAACATCTGGTGTTGCCTGCAATATGCTGATGCAGTTTTTGATCTAAGGTAAGGTGTCATCCCTTAAGAAACGCTGCATTCTTTTAGCTTTGTAGAGCTTTAATTTCATGTGTAACCACACAGATGAATAGAATGATACTTTGTCTAATATTTTTAAAACCTTAGAAGAAAAAAAAGCACAGTCTAAAATAAACAAAAGTTGGCTATATATTGATACTTTTGGAGAACTGAATATTTCCTACTCTTGGGCTTACAGGTAGTATTGTTTAGCTATAAATGTCTTATGTACAGATAATTTTTCTAAGTTAAAAAGAAATAAATTGCATAACAAAAAAACCCTCAAAATTTAATAAGAGCAATATTAAATAACAATTTGGTAAGTAAGATATGTTGTACTGTGCTGGTGTGAGTTATACTTAAATATGTATTTTGTTAGCTTTATGGCACATTTTTATTTTTACTTGTTAATATAAATTTAGCCCCTGTATCATTTATATGAAACTCAGATGGCTTAGAAGTAAGGAATCTCACTGCCAGTTCATAGGGACAGGATATTTTAACTCACTAGCTGCTCCGTGGAAGAAAGATGTGCAGATAGTCTCCTCCCAAGTGGTGAACTGCCTCTGAAAACCTGCTGGAGGGTGAGCTAGGGGTAGTGTCCAACTTGATGGTACATAACAACAGCAACAGATCATTTGTATGCTTTTTCACTTTCTGGGATAAGTTCATTTCTACATAAAATAGCACCCTACCATTCATAGCTGTCACCAATTAATTTTGACTTGTAGACACCACATAGGATAAAGTAGAACTGCCCCTTAGGGTTTCCAAGGCTGTGCATCTTTCTGGAAGCAGATAGCCTCATCCTGGTAGGTTTGAACCACTGACACTAAGATGCCTCAAGATATAAGAGCAGTCTGTTGCTGTTATTGTTAAGTGCTGTCGAGTCATAGACAACTCTTAGCGACCCTACGAACCTAAGACCTGAACACTTGTATAACTTTCATCGTTCCTCTAAGTTCATGGAGTTCCCAGAGGCAAGCCATTTCAGAAGTGGATGCCACTCCTGCTTCCAAGCCTGTTTTAATCTGGGAGCTCCACCAAACCCTGTGCGCTATGGGTGACCATTATTACTTTTGATACATCAGTGTCACAGTGTTTAGCATTACAGCAACCACGAGTTACCTCTGTACAGCAAATGGACAGACCAGTGTTATACCACTTAGAAGAATGTTTGACCAAAAACAATTAAAACCAGGCCTGAGGGCCGCAGATTAAAATCACCCACCTTTGGCTTGATAGCGCAACTTTCTATCCACTAGATCTCTCTCTATGATTCACAGCAATTCTATGAATAACAGATCTAATCCTTGCTCTACCCTACGCCATCCCCACAATCCAAGATATTCTTGAGCTCGCTGTTACAGTCACCTTATCAATCCATTGTGTTGAGGATCTTTTCTTCTCTGACCTTCCACTTAAGAGAAGTATATAGGACAACGAAAGCCAGAGCACATATGCTGATTCTCACCAGATGCACCGTTGTCAAATTGATTCTGATTCATAGTGACTCTACAGGATTTTATAGTGGCAGAATTCTGGTTCATAGTAACCCTTAAAGGACTCTCAATACTGCACCTTTACAGGAGTGCACTGCTTCATCTTTCTCCTATGGATTACCTGGTGGGTTCCAACCACAGCCTTCCATTTAGCAGCCAAGTGCTTACTCACTGTGCTATCAAGGCTCCTTTAGAGACTAAAGACTCAAACACCTGGCCAGGGACTTGAACCCTGGACCCTCAGATTAAAAGTTGTTGTTGTTGTTGTGTACCACAGAATCAGAACTGACCCATAGGTGACCATCCAGTTAGTTTTCAGAGGCAGATTATCAAATGGGAGGAGATTGTCCATCATTCTCCCGTGGAGCATCTGATGACCTTGAACCACGTGCCTTCAGGATGGCAGCACAGCTTCTTGCCATGAGGCCACCTTGTTCAAATAAAAAGAGTAAGCCAGATAAACAGATGACCCCAAGAGCTGTCCCATTGGCAGTCTCCTCCTGTATGATTTACAGCCTCTGAAAAACTGCTGGAGGGTCAGCTATTAGCCAGTTCTGACCTAACAGCACACAACAACATATTATGTAAGTTTTAACAAGTATTTCAATCAACATGATTTTATTAATTTCAAAGTCTTTCTCTAATATGCTCTGTGCTTAGGCCTGGTCTTCCTTTAGTGATAATGGTACAGCAGCACTCTTTTTTGAGGAAAAATAATATTATTCTCTCTGTAGAGTTTTCTCACATTGTCTCCAATGCATTGTTAATATTTTCAGGATTCCAGTCAGATTGAGCTATTAAAAGAACTCATGGATCTGCAGAAGGATATGGTGGTCATGTTGCTGTCCATGTTGGAAGGTAGTGTTGATTTATATTTGCAAGTTATTGTTACTATTTTGATGACAACAAGGTGCTTGCTTGCAGAGTCAGCAGGCTACAGCAAATAAAACAACCACACTCAGGAGTAACAACTACTTTGAGTGCATTCCTGGATTTATCGCAAGTTAGTTTTTTGTTTAAGTAAATCCTGCATATGCCTCTCAGTATATCCCTACCAAGCTAGTCATTTATAGTAACACTTTTTCATTTCATAGTAATATGCTAAAGAGTAAGCTTTTCACATGAATTGTATATGGAGAACGTTTTCTGTTTGTTGGTATGCACGCATTTCTAATTGGTGTTATTTTAGACCTTTGGACAAATTCTTACTGTGTAAATGGATGGATGCTTCTGCTGTCACTCATTACTGCTCTGCTGGCTCCTGAATTCCTGAGCTAAGCCAGTGAGACCACCAGGCATCTGCAGCGGAAGACACACCTCCCACCTCAGCCTCTCCCAGTCTTTGTTCCTCCTCTTTTCTCCTTCCAACTGGTCTTCCCTTTGCTGTTGTTCTCTTTCCACTTATCAGACTATTAGAGTAGATGCTATGAGATCAGCCTCTATGGGGCAAACCCCAACTTTCCTGCTTTTTTTTGTGATATTCTTTTGGATAAGCTTCGTTCTCATTGTTTTCCTCTGTAGAATGTTAATGATGAAAGCTACCTGACAGGACTAAGTGAAAATTCTTTGAAATTATATAAATATGACCAAAGCCATTTTTACTATTTTACTGTTACTTATTCCTTTATTGAGATATTAATGAAAGTTTATAGATAAATTAGATTTCCATTCATTCATTGTTGCACATTTTCCTCCCTGCCCCCCCCTTCAGTTTGCTTTTTTCTTTGGTAAAAAAATTCTTTCATTGTTATACAGTCTTCTTTACTATGCAGCTCTTATTCTGGACTCTTGTCATGCCAATAATATTTAATCATATATTCCTTTTATAGTGTTCTCTCCCTCGTCTGTCTCAATGCCGTATACATTATCCCCTCTTTTCTTAGTTTCCCCCCAATCCCAATGTCAGTCCTGTTTTAGAACAGTGGCATTATGCAGTATTTGTTTTTTTGTGACTGAAATATTTCACTCATCCTAATATTTTCCATTGTCACCCATTTTGTATAATATTTCATGAGTTCCTTATTCTATAGTGCTGCATAATATTCTGTTGTCTGAATATACCACAGTTTTTCTTTCCATTCATTTGTTGATGGACACTTGGTTTGTTTCCAACTCTTTGCTATTGTGAACAAAGCAGCAATAAACATGGGTGTGTATATATTTGCTTTGGTGGCAGTTCCGGTTTCTTTAGGGTATATTCCGCATAGTGGAATTGCTGTGTCAAATGGTATTTCTATTTGCAACTTTTTGAGAAAGCACCATACTGCCTTCCTACCAACAGCGAATAAGGTTCCAGTTTCTCTACAGCCTCACCAGCATTTGTTGTTTGCTGCTCTGTTGAATTTTGCTATTGTTTTTCAGATGAGATGATATCTCACAGTTGTTTTGAGTTGTATCTCTCTTAAAGCTAGGGATTTTGAACATTTCTTCATTTGTTTGTTTGCCATCCAAATGTTTTCATTAGTGAAGTATCTGTTCATATCTTACACCCATTTTGCAAATGGGTTGTTTACCTTTATCTTGTTGTGGTGCTCGAGTATTTTCTAAATTTTTTTCCCAATCTATGACTTCCCTTTTTACCCTGTTGGAGAAGTTTTTGGATGTGCATAGGGATTTAATTCTTACAAGGTCTCATTCATCTATTTTATCCTCTCCTGGTAATAGGATTTTTTTTTCCTTAAAAATACCTTTCTGTTTTTTTCTCTTTCTCTCACTCTCCCTCTCATTCTCTCTCTTCCTCACCTCTTCTCTTCCCTCTCCAGTTTCATCAACACTCTCTCATCCCCCCATTCCTCTTTTCCTCCCTCCCTCCCTATTTGTTTGTCACACATTTCTTAAGCCACTTGATTATCTGGAGCAGCTCCTGTGCTGTATCTAGGACTGCAGAGATGCACTGTTTGCTTAAAATCTATACTTAAGTACATCTGTACACTCTCAACCGATGGTGTGTTTTCCATTACGCTAGTACACATTTTGTTCTAAATCGTGATGATAATAGCTATACTAATTACAAGTTTAAACTAACATCTTATAAGATCCCAAATACTATTTTACGTATTTAGTCCATTTTAATCAGTCTGTGAGTTTGGTTGTGGCTTCCTCCCCACTTTGCAGTGGAGGAAACGGATTCAGAGAGTTTGATGGCTCAGCTCGGACATTGTGGAGCCTGGGTTGAAACCACCTGAAGCCTCTAGAGTTGCATCTCTCCTCAGTGCCACAATTTTAGGTTGTCTTCATGTTACATTGCATGTTATAGTTAAAACAAAAAAAAAAAATAAAAGAAGAAACCATGAGTCTCTAAGTTAGGATATATGCCACTTGTTGAAAACTTATCAGTGATCTGGGCTTTTCTAGATATAAACGTGGTGAACCATAAGAAATATAGGAAGAAACTGTTAATTGTAATTAGTGTGTCCCATTGTTATTAGTGTGTATCTATTGGAAAATCCAGTTTCAAGCCCTACCACTGACCCTCAGTGATCATGTCACAGTGGGCACATTATCCTCTTGAAAACCTCAGTTTCCTCTTTTCTAAAATCAGCATTAATAACAAGTACCTGCCTTATAGACATATGAGTGATGAATCAGTTTCTACCTATGAAGACTTGTTTTCCCAATATAACAAACTGTGCCAGGGTTCTAAGCGTAAATGTCACTCTTCTGCATCTATTCTCTGTTCCCTTTCCATTATACTAAAATGTGGTTTTTCATTAGTGGATTTGAGGAAAATGTCAGTTTTTGTGCAAGTATTGTTTTGTGTGTTAATCTAATCACTTGGTAAATGATTTGCATATATTAACACTTTTAAAAAAATAACTATTGTTTGTTTATTTAGTGAAAGTCTACACAGCAGTTTAGATAACAGCTTCTAGATAAATTGTTTGGTAACATGAATATTTTTCTCACTTTTGTTCTGGTTGCTTTTAATCTAGTTTCCCTGCCTCTTTGCATCTTTGTCACTGTTTTAAAGCAATTGTTGACTGTTCAGCTTTGTGTAGGTGACTTTATTTTAAGGAGAACAGTAATTATGGATGATACACATTCTACTTCTTTAATCTAACATGTTATTCAGCTAGAGGGTGACCAGAGGATTATTTTAGTTTCAAGATCTGAAGAACACCACACAGCAGTAATCTTTATAAATTCCAACCAATCCAGTAGGTCTGCTGATTTCTTTATTTATTTAAGGACTTTTCAGTTGTTTTTCATATATTTACCCCACTCTACTAGGATGCATCTGCTGTGGCCCTGATTAGAATGGCTGGTAGTAGTAACGAGGAGGCCACGTCTATTTCTGGTCCCAGAGTAGGTCAGTTGGTCATTTATGTCAGTCTATTTGCCCTGCAGATTAGTTTCTGTTCACAATTATCCCTCCTTTTCCTAGACTTCATATGTTGAAAGATAAACAAGGTGCAGATGTTATTACTGCATTGCTATTTTCTCTGTAAACACTGACTTGATTAAGAATGTTCCTTTTAAACAAATGCAATTGCTCTGCCGCCAGGTAATGTTGTCAATGGGACGATTGGCAAACAGATGGTTGATATGCTTGTGGAATCATCCAACAACGTAGAGATGATTCTCAAGTTTTTTGACATGTTCTTAAAGCTAAAGGATCTGACATCTTCTGATGCATTCAAAGAGTATGATCCTGATGGCAAGGGTATCATTTCCAAGAGGGACTTCCACAAAGCCATGGAGAGCCACAAGCACTACACACAATCAGAGACTGAGTTTCTTCTGTCTTGTGCGGAGACGGATGAAACAGAGACCCTGGACTATGAAGAGTTCGTGAAGCGGTTCCACGAACCTGCAAAGGACATCAGCTTCAATGTGGCTGTCCTCCTGACCAACCTCTCAGAGCACATGCCCAATGACACCCGGCTACAGACGTTCCTTGAGTTGGCAGAGAGCGTGCTCAATTACTTCCAGCCCTTCCTGGGCCGCATTGAGATCATGGGCAGTGCAAAGCGCATCGAGAGGGTGTACTTCGAGATCAGTGAATCCAGCCGGACGCAGTGGGAAAAGCCCCAGGTCAAAGAATCCAAGAGGCAGTTCATATTCGATGTGGTCAATGAAGGGGGAGAAAAAGAGAAAATGGAGCTCTTTGTGAACTTCTGCGAGGACACCATATTCGAGATGCAGCTGGCAGCTCAGATATCAGAGTCGGACTTGAGTGAGCGGTCCACCAACAAAGAAGAGAGTGAGAAGGAGAAGCCTGAGGAGCAGGAGCCCAGGATGGGGTTCTTTTCCATCCTAACAGTCAAGTCAGCCCTGCTTGCCCTCAGGTCGAACATCTTGACCCTTATGCGGATGCTCAGCCTGAAGAGCCTGAAAAAACAGATGAAGAAGATGAAGAAGATGACCGTGAGGGACTTGGTCATGGCCTTTTTCTCATCTTACTGGAGCATCTTTTTGAGCCTCTTGCACTTTGTTGCCAGTGTCTTGAGGGGCTTCTTCCGCATCATCTGCAGCCTGCTGCTGGGAGGAAGCCTGGTGGAAGGTGCTAAGAAGATCAAAGTTGCAGAACTCTTGGCTAACATGCCGGACCCCACTCAGGATGAGGTGAGGGGAGATGGAGAGGAAGGAGAAAGGAAGCCTATGGAGGTGTCCCTGCCTTCTGAAGACCTGACAGACTTGAAGGAGCTGACTGAGGAGAGCGACCTTCTCTCAGACATCTTTGGCTTGGATCTCAAGAGAGAGGGAGGACAGTACAAACTCATTCCTCATAACCCCAATGCGGGCCTTAGCGACCTCATGAGCAACCCCGCCCCCATCCCTGAGGTGCAAGAAAAATTGCAGGTAAATATTCTCTCCTTCGAAGCAGCTCTCAGGTACTGTACCTCAGGTAGGTACAGTAGAGTGATGACTTCTGTTTTCAATGGGCAATTGCTTTGAGGCAGACAAAAGTAGCCTTTTTAAGATTCTTTCTCTGTTGTTGTTGTTGTTATGTGCCATCAAGTTGCTTGCGACTCACAGCAACCCTATGCACAATAGCCCTAAACTATGCTCTGTTCTATGCCAGTCACACTGCCTCTGACCCACCCATCCCGATTAACCCCGTCACTGAATCAATCCACCTCATAGAGGGTCTTCCCCTCCTGTGCTGTCCCTCCACCCTCCCAAGCATGATGTCCCTCTCCAAGGACCTGTCCCTCCTTACAACATGTCCAAAGTATGTCAGACGAAGCCCCAGAATCCTTACCTCCAAGGAGCAGCCCGGTTTAACCCTCTCCAGGATGAATCTGTTTATTTTCTTGGCAGTCCATGGGACATTCAACACTCTTCTCCAGCACGACAGCTCAAAGGCATCAATTCTCCTTCTATCCTCCCTGGTCATTGTCCAACTCTCTGCTACATAACAAGTGATTGCAAAGACCATAGCCTGTATCAGTTGCATCTTAGTCTCCAGAGTGACACCATTGCTCTTTCAGTACTTTGGAGAAGTCTCTAACAGCAGACTTTCCCATCATAATACATTTTTTGATTTCCTGGCGATTCTTTTAAACTATCTAGCTGTAAACTCAAGTGTCTTCCCTGTGGAGATGACCCCATTGACTACCATCCACAGCCTTTCATGAGCTCTTACCATGAGCCTGACACCACTGAGGCTCAGAGGGACCTAAGAGGGATGTAAGATGTGGTCCCTACCTTCAGGGTGGCATTAACCATTTACCAGAGAGAGGAGACTAGCACTTGAAGAGACAGAAAAGTGTCCTAAAAGAAGGATGGACATTGGCAGAAGAGGTTGCATGCACTAAGACAAATTACGCATCCCATTTTGAGAGTTTTTAAATGAAACTTAAAGGTGGATGTTAAGTTGAACCTGAGAAAGGATTGAGACTTGTATAGATAAGTGAGGCACAGAGGGGTATTTCTGAAGTAAGGAGAAAAAATGGAAAGGACCTGGAAAGTTGTTTGCACCAGCAGTGGGTTGGGAGCTTGGGAAGGGGAGAGTTTTTATAAGAGCAGATGAAAAGTCTGTGAGCAGATGTTTTATCTCTACTGATACATGAGGGTGTCTGTGGCTGGGTAAGGTTTGGAGAAAGGTTATGGGTAACTAACCTCATTCAGAAATGTTGGGTAATCATTTTTTTCTTTTCCTTATTGGCTTATTCAAGGAACAGAAGGTAAAAGAAGAAAAGGAAGAGAAAGAAGCAGCCAAATCTGAACAAGAAAAAGCTGAGTATGTAGGGTTTCAATATGTTTTGCTTTGTTTCCAGAGGTCTCTTTCTCTTGTCCTCTCTCTCAGGGGTCATTCTTTTGCATTTTATACTGTGGGGACCATAGCCCTGCACAGGGTCCCTGAACAAAGTCCTGCATTTCTGGGGAGTGGCTCTGACTGTGAATGGAGCCTGCAGTAGGCAGCTTACTTCCTGACAGGGCAGATGTCCACTCCCAGCTGCCCCTGTCTCTTCCCTGAGTTCATGAGATTTGATCCATGTGTTCTTCCCTCTGGAGAAAAGCTTCTACTAATTCCATGTAATATACTTCACAGGATGACAGGCTGCCACAGTCCTCCCCACGAACCACGCTTGCATTATTGTCCTTACAAATGCAAGGAGAGACCTAGTCCATGTTGCATAGAAACGACGTGGGGAGTTTACTAAAAACTCAGAGACTCAGGGTGTGGAGACAAGTTTTTCACAAGCACTTCTGATGTGGAGAATGCAATTAGAAGAGCAGTAATACCTGGAATGCTGGAGCTAAAGTGCACTGATCATTCTGTCCTGAATGGAATCCTTTATCGTTTTTCTAGTCTATATAGTTTCATTGACAAAATTTCTTAAAAATTGGAAAAAAATTATGTTATGTGGCCACTGTTTTCATAGTGCTTTCTTTTTCTCTGTTTGCCTTTTTTACTCCCTCCTCTAATATTTTCATTGTCTAGTCTCTAAAGTTTGTAATGTTTATAATCAAGATTTTGCCCAATAAAATTTATTGGGGAAAATGGCTATTTACCTGACAATTATTAAAAAAAGTTGACATACATAACAGGAGGGAACAGATTAACATTTGAAAAAGAAATAGTATTGATTTGTCTGATTGTTAGGTAGACCACATACAGATTAAAGTTCATTTTTCAAACTTGTATATATACATTTCTCACTCATACCATCAAGTCAGAACCAACTTCATAGCTGACTCTCCACTGGGTCTTTAGAAGCTGTACATTGTATGGGAGGAGATTGTCATCTTTCTCCCATAGGGCAATTGGTGGATTCGAACCACGTACCTTTGTTTTGGCAGTCCAACTTCATACCTACTAGACTATCAGAACTCCCTTGCATATGGCTACCTGAAGAGAGTGGATGCATAACTATGCCTATCTGCAAATATACTTTCATGATGATTCAGTGTTTTGTATGTTAGAGAAATTTTAGCCATTAAATACCAGTCTTCTAATTTCATTATTGTCTGCAAAATAAATATTTTTTATATTCTTTCTATAGGTGTTGGACCTCTGATTGTAAAAGTTTCTGGCTATTTTTTGTTAAATATTGAACACTTAAATTCTGATTTTAAAATAAAGTATATTGGAAAATCATAGCAAAATAAATTCATTACATTATTTTCCTTTTAATTAAATATTCTGTATTGCACAATACGAAGAAAAAAGAACCAACCATTTATAAAGACTCTTGAAGCCTGCAAAATGCCCTCTGGATAGGAATTTCTCAGAATGCTCCATCTACAGGGAGCTATGATCAGCAGGATACCAACACCCTAATTCCAACATTCTAAATGTTGTGTCAGTTGGAAATGAAATCCATTTTCAAAAAAATTATGAAAATCGGAAATAATTATCTGCTGGTGTATTTTTGCACAAAACCTGCTTGCCACTTCAGTTTCTTGATTTCTTCTCTGCCTTTCCTTTATTTTCACAGAGGAGAAGATGGAGTAAAGGAAGAAAAGGTCAGAGACGACAAGACCAAACCAAAGCTGAGGCAGCTTCACACACACAGATATGGAGAGCCAGAAGTTCCTGAGTCAGCATTCTGGAAGAAAATCATCGCTTACCAACAGAAACTTCTAGTAAGATGTCTTAGAATGACTGTAGCTACCTATAGGCAATAAGACCTTGACTTAAAAAAATCTTGAGAGAGAGGAAACAGTTCTTTAGTGTCCCAAACATTTTGTAGAAATGTCCCCCAAATTAGTAACGTGCATATTCATTTATGGGCAATCTGAAAATAAAGTCGTCTATTTCTCTATTCTATTTATATCCCACAGTCAAGAAATCTTTACAATCTTGTTTGAAAATTATTTAAGTCTCTGTGCACATGCATACACACACATGCACATACCTCTTAAAATAGAACTCATAAATACATATTTTTTAAAAAGCAACAAACACTGAAAAACAAAACAAATCTGTTTCCATTGAGCCACAACTGTTTATCATAGAGAAGAGATGTCTCAGAGAATTTTCAAGACCATAATCATTGCAGATATAGACTACATATCTTTCTCTCATAGAATTGCTGATTTGCTGGTTAGCCCCTGAGCATTTACCAAATAGCTGCATCACATGAACGTCTCTCTCTTCGTGTGTGTGTGTGTGTGTGTTGTTCCTAATGTGACCTGTGCATTTATACACATTTAGTAATACATTAGGTAATAGGGTATGTTTATGAATGTTTTCAAGTAAAGCTGATAGAAGAGGAAATTTGTTGCATAAACCTACACAAATTACTGACCAATAGTTTAAGCCTAGAAATTAAGAACATTTCTCAAAAAGATCTTTGATAGGCAAAGTAATTTTCAATGTGTTACAGCTCGAGAGAAAAAATAATTAAAACTGAATATATTCTAAAACTTCACCTATGAAGGGAAAGTGTTGCCTTCACTAAATATATATGGCCTAAATGCTTATATACAAATATGTTGTTGTTGTTGTTGTTGATTGCCTTTGAGTCAAGCATGACTCCTAGCAACCCTGTGAACAAAAGACCTGACACCTTTCTATAACTATCTACACTTCATCAAAGTTCATAGTTTCCAGAGACATGTTGTTTAGGAAGTGGATTTCACTCCTGCTTCCAAATATGCTACAAGATTATAGCAAAATTAATAGTTTCAAATATGTTTTCTCAAACTCTTTTAAGTTTTCTTTACATTGTTTAATATGAAATGCTTTCTAGGTAGGCCTAGGTAGTCCTTTATTGGTTTCTATGTGATTATGGTTGCTGTCATTCCAGATAAAGCAATATTATAGATGTTAGGAGATAACTTTGGATGGGCTCTGCTATGCTCTGCAGAAGTGGCTATTGCGGATATTTGAAGAATGAATTTAAATATTTTTGTTGTTGCTGTTGTTATGCTCCACTGAGGTGAGGACAACTCACAGTGACCCTATGAACTACAGAGCTGAACCCTGTCCTATCTTGTTCCATCCTCATCAGCTCTGACATATTCGAGCTCATTGCTGCAGTCATTGGGTCAGGCTATCTCCTGAGGATCATCATCTCTTTTGCTGACACTCCACCTTTCCAAATGTTAAGTCCCTTTCCAAGGAAAAGTGCCTTCTAACAACATGTCCAAAGTTTATGAGACAAAGCTTTGCTGTCCTTGCCTGCAGCGAATACTGGCTGCATCTTCTCCAAGACATATCTGTTTAGTAAAGTTGTTAAACAGAGTGATTGGTGTTTTGCTTCACTCTCTGTTCAGGGCTCACCTCCATGCTCCGCTGCCCATTGCCATCTGACTTTCTCTGCTGATCAGTTTACATACACATAGTTAATCATGGCCACATCAGGCACTACAACTCCTCTGCCCCAAGATTTTGTGATCTCCCACCTCAGATCACCAAGGCTAACTAACTCTATCTCCCTGACAAATTTCACCTTCTCGGGAGAGACAACCTGAATGATCCTGTTTGGGCTTGGACCCACCTTCAGTAAAGTGAGTTGCAGTAAGGCAGGGTCCTTGGGGGAAGTCATATCACAGGGAAAATGTGTGCTACCATTCTGATATGGCCTCATACTGGTGCATCTTCTTGGCTTCCTTATGGACCACTTAGACTTAGTCTTTTTGCTTTCCCCATAGTTTGTTTCCATTAACTAACTTCCCCTTCAGGTTTCTGGCATTTTGTTTTCATTTTATACAGACTTTTTCAGCTCAATAAACAGCACTAGCCATTTACTTAGTTGCTAAAGCCAAAATGTCTAGAACCTAGCATCTTTGAGTCCTCCCTTTCTTTCTCTCCTCAAATACAACACAACAGTAATTCTTTGATCCTCTTCCTTCCAAATAGTTCCCAATTTAGAGCCAAATTACCAACTGTCTCCACAAGTACAACCCCAGTCCAAGCCACCATCATCATCCCCATTGTCTCTTCCCGAACTCTCATAACTTTGACTATTCTTCCTATTCCTTGGAGAGAGACATCATGCTTAGAAAGGTGGAGGTTTGGCACAAGAGAGGAAGGCCCTTAACCAGGTAGATTGACACAGTGACTGCATCAGTGGGCTCAAATATGTCAGAGATGATGAGGATGGTGCAGGATATGACAAGGTTCAGATCTGTTCTCCACGGGGTCGTTATGAGTCATACTTGACCTATGGCACTTAAACAAGTCTCACAGATTTTATTTCACTGTGTCCTATTTGTAGTCCTCCAGCAACCTCCTGTTACATTGAGGATGGAAACTCATTTGCAAGCACAGTAACAAGATGACTATCTGACAGCTTCTGTGTGCCAGGCACTGGTCTAGAGGCTTTAGCCTCATTTGATCCTCTCAGCAACCTTCTGAGGTTTTTTCTGTTGTTAACTCAATTTATAGCTAAGTGGTACAGGAAAAGAGATAAGTTGCCTACATTTCTACAGCTAGGAAATGGTGGGAAAAGAATTTAAATCTTAACAAGGTGTTCTCAGATTATACTCTCCACTACTGTAATGTGACCTCAACACAAAATTTTCTCAGAGGTTTATACAAGCCTGCTCACTTCAGAGACCTCATTCTTTACCAGTACCCTCTTCTAACTTCCTCAGACACACCATCATTCTAAAGTCAGGGCCTTGTCCCTCTTTCTGATTTTTTTTTTAATTTGCTATCAAGTTGGCACTAACTCGCAGTTGACCCTCCTGTGGGTTTTCAAAGGCTATTATACAGTCACATGGGCGAGATTTTTCATCTTTGTCCTGAGGAGCAGCTAGTGGACTTGAACCATGTGTCTTTAGATTGACAACAGAACTCCTTATCACTAGGTCATGAGAGCCTTCCTCGTATGTTCCCTTGGCCACTTTTCCTTATGTCCTTAACCTGCACCTCATCACAGCACCCTCGTTCCGCATGCCTTTAAGCTACTGAATTTTTCTCGGATGTTTGCATTTCCTGACCTTTTTGTTTTATATGTGTGCATGTATTTATTTTATGTCTTCTTATTGGTATCAAAAATGTCTTAATCTAGTACTAAGAATGGTATATGATACATACTAAGCTCTCCATGGATAATTCTGAGTAAGTGAATGAATTATATTAATTGTCTGCCAGTTTCAAATCTCTCAATCCAGTGACTTGGTAATATCGTTTTGTTTTTTTTTTTTTTTTGCCTTCAGAACTATTTTGCTCGCAACTTCTACAACATGAGAATGTTAGCCTTGTTTGTTGCATTTGCAATCAACTTCATTTTGCTCTTTTATAAGGTACGTACCCCTGTGTTTTTAATACCCACCATACAAGCACACATAGCTTGAACTGATATGAGACATTGCCACACTGTCCTAGTGAGCACACTTAAGCCTATTCCAAAATGCCTTTTAGTGAAAGAACCTGGAGCTCAAATACATCAGTAGTTATAAAGGTGGAATAGATTTTTTTTATCCAAAGAAATGGATGGAATGTGTGAAATGACTCCAATAAAGAGGATTTGATTTGGCCGAGGGTTTACTTACATTTCTCCTTCCTAATGGAACTAAATATCTTCCTCCTTATATCTGTGTCCAGTATACATGACTTCTATTAAATCCTTAACCTGAGAAATGTCATAACCTTCTGTGTTCCCTATGCCTGTGTTGGAATTTTTTTAATGCTTCCTTGGGTTAGATCGAATCCAGGCTTCCGGTGTGTTCATCATTTGCCTTTGGGTTTTTGAAAGCCTTCTTTTTAGTTTTGGCTTTCAATACTTGCGTTATTCAGTAGCTTCATTGCATACTATTTGCCACAAAAGCTGTATTTGCTTCTTGCTTATAACACCATGAATCCCGTGCACTGACTAGCATTTAAATGGTTTGAGTTAGGTCTCCACCTCTTCAGTGGTTGAGGGAAAGGAGCTGCCCTCTCGAAGTTCAAGTGAGAATGCCAAAGTGAGCAGCCTGGACAGTGGATCTGAAAGAATCATTGCTGTCCACTATGTCCTGGAGGAGAGCAGCGGCTACATGGAGCCCACACTCCGCATTCTGGCCATTCTCCACACGGTCATTTCTTTCTTCTGCATCATTGGATACTACTGCTTGAAAGTAAGATAGTAAGGCAGCAGGGTACCTGTGTGTGCTTGTGTGCATGTCTATTGGGGGTTGGTCTTCTCAGATAGAAGATCTGAGAACCAGTATCTGTGGTACCAGGGAAACACTCAGGGCAAGGTGGAGAGAACAACCAGGCATTGATGTAAACACAGCCAGGTATAAGCACAGGTCCAGTCTAGATGCACCTTTGGAGTTCTCCTGGATTGGGCCAAGAAATGTTGGCCTGCTGCCTGGAGAAGAACATGTGACCCTGGACTGTTTATGCTGATGGTTACTTGTATGTATTCATCATTGTTCACACAGTGGACAATTTCACCTATGACTTGACCCCACATATCACCCACCCCCAGTGTCTTATAGCAATGGTACAATATACAGGGCTTACAGAAGTGCATCATATGGAATGAATAAGTCATTTTTATTGTTCAGTTATGACTATGTATCTGCTCGCATTTTTGGCATAAATGCTTGCCATTCTGTCACAATTCACCCAGAAAATAACACAGCTCTACAGCTAACCTCCACTTTGTTAAGGGAACAGTAAAATTTGGAGAAGAGAATTCAAGAATGTCTGCTGAAAGCTTATTTCCACCCCCTCTATTCAATCAAGACCTTTCCATTATGACCTTTTTATCTTACTCTCCACTCTCTCTACTAGTAAAGCTTCTAAAATTCTTTGAAAGAATCAGGGCCCAGTCAAAGATTAAAGTATGAAAGTTTCTACAGAAATGCCTTACTTTGCTTTTGTTCTTCTTTTGTTTCATGGGCTGGGGGAGGTAGATACTCTTATATATCTCCTGAATATCTTAATCTTTATTATAGCTGTGGCTTTTATAAAGTCTGCTCATATAAAAAGAGAATCAATATGTTCTGGAGAGAGTTGATGAACCAACAAAGATTCTTGCTGATTTTGGAATTAAAATTTATCTCAAAATAGCATGTGGACATGCTGAGCACAACATTATTTGAGAGGTTTCTCAAATACAACTTTACATTTTTTAGTAGTACGAATTTATACAATCTTATTACATTTTTATTTTCATGTTCAAAAAATATGTGGAAAAAGAAAATGATTTTGCATAATAATCTCTTTGCTGTTTAAAAATATCGTTCATGGAATTAGTTGTGAATGTCTGTTAAAAATGTGTGTGTGTGTGTGTGTGTGTGTGTGTGTGTGTGTATGATATAAATTCCGTGTTCTGTATTTTCTGCAGGCCTTCTAGAATTTTCTTGCTACCTAAATAGAGTTGATTAATTTTTACTCAATTTTTACCTTTTTCAAAGTTCATTTCCAGAAATTACTTTTATAGAGATAGTAACCAAAGGAGATGCCAATGAATCTAAACTACTTTTCATATGTTTATTTTTCAAATGTAGGTCCCATTGGTTATTTTTAAAAGAGAAAAAGAAGTAGCTCGGAAATTAGAATTTGATGGGCTTTATATTACAGAACAACCTTCAGAAGATGATATTAAAGGCCAGTGGGATAGACTTGTAATCAACACACAGTAAGTAAAGGGTTGATGAGACATTTCTGTGCATAAAAATTTTAAATCATAAAATACTGGCATTCCCACTAGCATTTTATGATCTGTCAGAAGTTTATTGGAGGTGAATAATAGTTCTGTATTCAGCCAAGAAAATCTCAAGACTAAGCACCTCAACCGCCTAATGGATGCCATCAATTTTTGCCCTCTGAGCTCTGAATTCTTTAATAAAAAATGGCTGTGAGTCCATTTCCATAGCACTGGTGGAACATAGCATCCATTACTCAGTGTGCAGGGACGTGTGTATCTGGAGGTGCATAACCTGTAGCAAGCCTTTATCTCACCCAACAGCCTGGAGGGAAAAAAAACCCCAAAACAAAAACCAACCCACATTACTTATTAAGGAAAAAAAACTCTTAGCATTCAAGGCAAAAGTATTGAATTTCACACGTTTAGTGTAGCTAAATAGCAAACTCCAAACAGCCTAGAATAAAACTAGCTAAGTAATGTCATATAAATTATAAGAAAAAAATAATATTATCTTTTCCTCACCACTAATCATTTGACCTTATGTGTCAAATAATGATCTCTTATGATATCAAGATCAAGGGTAATAGCTACTGTGACAGAGAGAAAACCTTCACAAACCTATTGTTTTTTCACCATAAAAAATATTACTGTTGCAATATTTTTGTAGAATTGCAGTATTTGAGAGAAATGTCTTCCTCTTATAGGGATTAATTTTACTTGTCCTTCATAAGTTGTCATTTATATCTTCTTAGTTTTCAAATTGGATAGACTTAATTTATATACTTTTGAAAACAATGTGAAGGCTGTGTCTTCTTTTAAAGTTACAGAGGAAAAGAGAATCACCATTAGCATAAATAATCCAAGGCTAATTTCTATAAGGCTTAATTCAGACATGTCTCTACTTTCCAACCTTTATAATGAATTCTGACACCAGCTGTCCCTCACAGGGTGATACGTACTGCTCTGATAGGTTCCATACTTGGCTGCAATGACCACACAGAACTCAGAGACCAAAATCATGGTTATGGAATTTATTATGGAAGTGACTAACAGGTTATAATTCATAATCAGGCATAACTTTATTCCCAGTTCCTCTCTTTGGCTTTCAGCCTTTCATCTTTGGCCTCTGTCCTACTCAGGCAAGTGTTGTAAAGCTCTAATGTTTAAACTAACCAGAAACACCCCTAATCTGCCAGTGAGCTACTCGCCTGATGGTGCTCAGCTCTAACTCCATGCATCATCAAACCTAAGTATCTATCTAGAGGCAATCCCACTCAAGTTGATGGTGTTCGATTTTCTCACAACTTGAATCAAGAATTGCATTGTCTCCTGCTCCTCTCCAGGGAGCTCTGGTGACTTAGTGGTAAAAAGTTGTGCTGTCAACTCAAAAGAAAAGAACATCAGCTGCTGTGTGAGACAAAGGTGGGCAATTTCCTCCTGTGTGATTTACTGCCTTTGAAAATCTGATTGAGGGTCAACTATGAGTTGGTTCCAATTCAGTGGTACCCAACAACAACAGTCTTCTGGTTCCCTGTTGCTTTGATCTCTGCTGGTGCCATTTCCTTACAACTATGCCTTGCCATCTCTAATGTCACATCTATGGTTCTTGGTTCAGGGGTCTGTTGTACAAATGGCATGGTCTGCTTCTGCCTCTTCTTTCTTGATGGTAGTGATATTCCTCCTTTTCAATTGTAAGGATAGTTCATCTTAACCCTTGGAGAATGACAAAACTGATCACTCCATGTATTAGGGTTCTATACTTCTTACTTGTTTGCCCCAGTCCAAGGTCACCATATACCTTATTTATATAGTTCATAAGCTGTCCATTCCCATAGATAGGTCACAAGCACCTCACATTTACATGTTGCTGTTTTATGCTGTTAGGTTGCAACACATGACTAACCAACTGTTCAAGGAGTTTTCAGAGGCTGTAAATCATACAGGAGAAGATTGCCAATCTTTTTCCCATATAGCAGCTGGTGGATTCAAACCATGTGTCTTTGAGTTGGCAGCACAATTCTGTACCATTAGACCACCACAGCTTGTTTGTACCACAAGATTGTCTGGTAATGCAGTAGTTAAGCTCTTAACTGATGACCAAAGGATTGGTAGTTGAGCCCATCCCCCAGCTCTGGAGAACAAAGACCTGGTGACCTGTTTCCATTAAGACTGAAGCCTGAGAAGATCTGTAGGGTCATTCTTCTGAGCCACATGGGCTTGGTTTGTGTTGGAAGTGATTAGATGATACCTAACAACAGTATCCACTACTACTAAAACTAATCAAAGATATCCCTTTTATTATTGTGATTTGGTGTCATTCCAACAATTTATTTGGATATGATTAAAAAGGCATAACAGATTTCTAATATGTCATCTTTAAGACAAAGACAAATAACAATTTAAATGTATAGATAGATTATAAATAAAATGCCAAATGTAGAAATAATATTGTTGTTATCTGACCTTCCAGTGGGTTTTCAGAGGCAGTTAATTGCATGGGAGAAGATTGTCCATCTTTCTCCTGCAGAACAGCTAGTGGATGTGAATCATGTGCATTGCAATGCAGCTTCTTACCAGTTGGCCACAGAGCTCTCTAATAGCGTTTATTAACATGCTCATTTTCTTCCTCATTAAAGTATTAGCTCATGGTTGTAATTTACTTTCTTATATGTGTATGCATTCATGCAGAAATACAGAATATGATAATAAAGATGAGAAGGTATGCATGTGTATTATTTTCATATATTTTGTAAATCTCTAGTGAGATGCTCTCTTTTAGAATTTTTTTAATGAGAGACTATTTCTATGTTTTTTTCTTAGGTCATTTCCCAACAACTACTGGGACAAATTTGTTAAAAGAAAGGTAATGCTACTTAAAATAAATTATCTGTATTTTCCTAAAGTACAAGGCTATTTTGAAGTTGATATGTGTGTAGAACAGGATAATGAAATATACTTTCTGTGCCTGCCAATGTCATTTCAAAATGACAGATGAATAAGATTTTTTTTTAAATAGCATGTAAGAAATTCATACTCTGCAGCTTCGAAATAATCAACTAGTACTTAAGCCCACCATGCTTTCACCCAGGTGAATCAGCAGTGCTCAGCCATACTAAGCACAAACTGGTGAGACTGCTCTTTTTTAAGGTCCCAAAAGGCTATCTTCTGTTAAGACAGATGAGGGTGAATGGGGCTGGAATCTTCATGTACTTGAGAAGTAAAGGTGCTGGATAACAAGGAAAAAACCCCTGAATTGTATTTCTTTTTTATAACTTCAAGTATTTTTTGTTCAGGCTCTTTTTTGATGCTGTCTACATTACTCTGTTAAGGATACTCTGAGGAGCTGTGGCTATGGTGCTGATGTAACTTGAGAGCACATGATCCATCAGGGGCCACAATAATCAACCACCCAGAATTTTTGTTTTGCTTGAATGAACTTTTTTCATTGGAAGAAATCATGTAAACGGCAGTTCATATACATTATAAAATGCAACAATCTTTCTTTTCTGGCTCTTTACTCATTTGGTTCTAATTGCCAAGCTGATTCCATTTACTCAGCCTTCCATAATCATTTTCTTACTTTGAGATCTAGCTCATTTATATATTCAGAGTAAATGGGCATAAATATCTATAGAATGAAGAGATCTTTCTTTCTTTGATTCCACCAGGATACTTTAAGGGTGGTTGGTGGCCTGTGAGTGTTTTGTTACAGGTCAGGAAGGAGATGCTCAGATTCTTGCTTCAAGAATATAAACGTCACTATTAAGCACACTGACATCTTGTGCCCTGTAGAAAGACTTGTGAAATGAAGGAGCAGTGTGTTTGTTGATTTTTATATTTGGTCTCTTTACGACCACAGAGTGACTGCCTGATGCCCTGAATAGCACTGCAACAGGATCCACCAATGCATCCAAATTAGGCACATTTAAAATAATAATTGAAGAGAATTGGAAATAGTTTAAATGCTTCATTGTTCTTAGTTATCTAAGATAATAAGAAGAAGATTTAAGATTTCTAAATTATTAAAACAAGAGCTACTTGAAGAAATGTGCACATATGTAGTCAAATAAATAGATAAATGATAATGGTAGTTGTATTTTTTCTGGAGGCTGTCAGAACAAAGCAAACAAAACAGATGACTTTAAAACTACGGAAGCTTATCCTTTCACAGTTCTTTTGCCTAGAAGTCTGGGTTCAACAGTTCTATACTCTCTCTAACAGCTCTAGAGGGGGATCCATCTTGTCCCTTCCATCTTCTGGCAGCCCTAGGCATCCCTTGGCTGAAGCATCACTCCAGTCTGTGTCTGTCTCTGCTTCACATGATGTCCTCCTGGACTACCTCTCTATGTATCTCCTCTTTTAACATATTGCATTATAACCCACTCTAGTATGGCGTCATGTTCACATAAACAGTGAATACTCAATTTCTAAACTATATAACATGCACTAGTGTCAGGGGTTAAGACTTCTGTAGAACCCAGTTCAACCCTTAACCACTGAAACCATACTTGGCCTTCCTTCTATAATTCACGTTGTGTTTTCAGGGAACGAAGGAGAAAATACAAAGAAGATTCCTACTAATATCTACACAGCCATGTTTAGAACTTTGAGAACAGTGAAAAAGAATTTGTTTTAAATTATCTAAATAATATAGGAAGTGCTGGTGATCTAGTGGGTAAACAGTTTTTTCTGGCAGCCGAAAGGCAGACAGTTCAAATCCATCAGCTGCTGCAAGAGAGAAAGATGGACATTCTCTCCTTTGCCATTTACAGCCTGTGAAAACCCACTGGAAGGTCAGATCTGACAAGTTGTTTCCAACTCAATGATAATGAATTGAGTTGAAATGATATCTGCTCATATTTTTAACTACTATTTCCCTTTAGTGGTCACTTTTATTTGTCTTAGCATCTAAGAAAACGCAATTTGTAAACTTTTCTCTAGTTCAATGTATCCAATCTTTATGCCCATTTTTATTCTGTCTTTTGTCCATCTTCTATAATCCTTTTACTTGTGCATTATATATGTTGTTGTTATGTGCTGTCAAATTACTTGTGACTCATAGCGACCCTGTGTACAACAGCCCTAAACTCTGCTCAGTCCTGTGCCAATTGCACTGTTTCTAACACACCCATCCCGATTACCCCAGTCACTGAATTAATCCACCTCAAAAACAGTCTTCCCCTCCTGCGCTGTCCCTCCACCCTCCCAAGCATGATGTCCCTCTCCAAGGACCGGTCCCTCCTTATAACATGTCCAAAGTATATTAGATGGAGCTTCAGAATCCTTGCTTCCAGGGAGCCGCCCGGTTTAACCCTTTCCAGGATGAATCAATTTGTTTTCTTGGCAGTCCATGGCACTCTCAATAATCTTCTCCAGCACCACAGCTCAAAGGCATCAATTCTCCTTCTATCCTCCCTAGTCATTGTCCAACTCTCTGATGCATAACAAGTGGTTGCAAAGACCATGGCCTGTATCAGGTGCACCTTAGCCTCCAGAAAGACACCATCGCTCTTCAGTACTTTGGAGAGGTCCCTAACAGCAGACTTTCACATCACAATATGTCTTTTAATTTTCTGGCTGCTGGTGCCAAGAGTATTGGCTATGGAGCCAAGCAGACTAAAGTTGTTAACAATCTCAATCTCTTCACCATTCATCCTGATGCTGCCAATTGGTCCTGTGGTGAGAATCTTTGTCTTTTTGATATTGAGCCTCAATAACAAATATAATACATTGCACATGTTAAAATATATCTGTGATTTATACTTAATTCTCAGTCACTATAACAAAAAGAATTGGACAGTGCTTGGCTGTTTCTCATGGTAGTGAATGATCAATAACCAATGGTACCAAAGACAGAGTCTAAGGTAGAGTTAAAGCAAGAATCGACAAAATGTTAATTGAAATATTACATTAAATGATACTCAGTCATCTATAGCTGACAAGTAATTTTGATGACAGCTAACTAGCCAGCTAACTGGAAGAGATCTGTATTTGTGTACTACTACAAAGAAGTGATCCAACAGAATGTGGAAATTATATAGCAAAATCTCTAATGTCATATGCAAGTAAAATCCTGCTAAAGATTATTCCATCATTGCTGTAATAGTACTTCAACAGAGAACTTGTAGAAATTCAAACTTATAGTGATGAAGTGTATATAACAAGACTATACGCTTATATCTTTATCCTGAGCAAATCTTATGAGAGACTAAACTGCCAAAAACACAGCAGCAGAATTGAAGGAATACGCATTACCCACCTGCAATATGCAGATGAGTAACCTTGCTTGCTAAAAATGGAGAATTAATACACATGTAAAAGCTCAAATATTACAGTTTTCAGTATGGATTACTCTTTTACATAAAGGAAATAAAATTATCACAATTGTATCAGTAAGACACATCATTATAACCAGAGAAAAGATAGAAATTGCCAAAGATTCTATTTCATTTGGCTATACAATCAATACCCATGGCCACGGCAGCAGCAGTCAAGAAATCAAATGGCATATTGCCTGTGGCAGATCTGCCAACAGCCTCTTTAATGTACTAAATAGCAAGAGTATAATTGTTTAAAAATCTTTGACACTTATTTTAATGCATGACAGCTAGAATAAATAAATATATACATCTAGATCAATAGATACACACAGGAAACTTGGAGCCAAAGCAATTGGCAAGAGCAGAAAAAAAGAATTAAAAGGTAAAATAATGATCATGAGCAGTGGTGGCAGCAGCAGCGGCAGTGACAGCAACAACAATAATCACCTAGTGTCCAGCCTTTCCTAGAAACTTCTTGCATCACCACATCTAAGAACCCCAGTTCAAAGATATAATTTTAAAATGTAGTTGGAACTGACCCAGGCCATGGTGTTTACAACTGATGCACATACAGTTGAAAATTGGCCAGTGGACAAGGAAGATCAAAGAAGAACTGATGCCTTTGAAATGTGCCATTGGTGGAGAACGTTGAATATATTGTTAAAAGAACAAATAAATCTGTCTTGGCAGAAGTGCAGCAGCAATGTTCTCTGAAGGTGGGGATGTTGAGGCTTCTCATGTACTTTGCACATGTTGTCAAGAGCAGCTAGTCCCTAGAAAAGACCATCATTCTTTGAAAACTAGAGGCTTAAATGCAAAAAGGGAAGGCCCTGAGTGAGATGGAACAAGACAATGATTGAAGCATTGTGTTCAAGCACAATGCAAAGCCTGACAGTATTATTTTCTGTTCCATATAAGATCACTTATGAATCAAATTTGCTTGGCCAAAGTTATTTTCTTTCCCATTTTCTCCCATTTCTTAATCTTTGCTTTATTCCATTGCTTTCCTTTTTTCAGAATTCCAACTTATGAATGAAATTTGTATCTCTCAAAAAGATAGGTGAAAGCACTAACTCCTGTGCTCATGGGATTTAGGTAGCCTGTTCCGGTTTTCTCTTGATATGTTGATGGGCCCTATGAAGTTCCATGGGTCTTCAACCTAATTCCTTAGGACTGGTTTCTTATAGAGAGAAAACAGGTGCAGAAAGTTATTTGCAGGAAAGAGACCCTTGGAGAAACTGTGTACAGTCCAAAGGATGCCAAGAAATGCCTAGGACTAATGACAGGGAAGAGCCTCCTCTCCTAGAACTGATTGAACTTCCAGCCTCCTAGATTGTTGTTGTTTGAGGCTGTCAAGTCCAGTATGACTCATAGTGACCTGTGAGCAACACATCTGAATCTTGTCTAACCCAGTGTCAGCCTCACGGTCTCTGACACACTTCATCCCTTTGCTGCAGTCACTATATCTCTACAATTAGGTAAACATAAACAACAACAACAAAAAATACTTGTGAAGTTTGTCCAAGGAAACAAATACATTCTTCCTTTTGAGTTACAAATCTTGTGTTTCACACAGACACTATTTATTAGGACCTTAAGCGTGTGACCAGTAGAAGGTGAAGCAGAATGTAGTACTTTGAAATAAGCTGTAAAATATGACCAATATATAGGAAGTAATAAAAATATTTAGATGTTTTTATCCAAAACCCTAGATCCTATTGTTTATTGTTTGGTTTTTGTTTGTTTGTTTTTTCCCCTCCCTGACTCCCAGGTAATGGATAAATATGGAGAGTTCTATGGCAGAGATAGAATCAGCGAGCTGTTAGGCATGGACAAAGCGGCTCTGGATTTCAGTGATGCCAGAGAGAAGAAGAAACCAAAGAAAGACAGTTCCTTGTCAGCTGTGTGAGTGTTCCTCCTGCTCTGTTCTACAGGTTCAGGTTGAAGCGGGGTGGGGGGGTGGGGATAGAGTTCTTTTGGTCTTTTAGTATCAGAAGAATAATTAGAAACCCTGGGTATTCAAGCTAGAAATAGATTGGGCCATTTGATTTATCGTTGAAGGTTTCTGTATCACACATGCTATGTACATAGAGTTGCTATGAGTTAGTGCTGACCTCACAACACTTAACAAGAGCAAACATCCAGTGTGTATGTGTGTATTTAAAGTGAATATACTTCACTGATTACATCCTTCTGGTTGTATCTTAACATATTCTATTCAATATAAATGTTATATCAAAATCGCTGTCTACCAAGTCTACTGTTTAAATAAAATATACTAATGATAATCAAAGAATATGAACTCACAACATCTTTGATAAAAGGGCTACATGAATTTTTTTTTTAAGCACAAGAAAACTTCGTTTCAAATAGACAAAATCACAAAATACAGTCAGGTATTGCACTATAATGTTTGTGTTACTTTGACTTACATCACATATAAAGATCAAAAAGGCAAATTAAGAGCGTGAATTTCCTTTCTTTTTCTCCTGACTTTTATATAAACACTGGAATTATATATAAAATTTACTCAGTTGAAATTATGGAATAAATTACATATATGCTAACTTAAAATTTTAATTTATTATTGTAACCACTTAACAATTTTAGAAAAAATATACTAATTTTCCTTCAGTTACAGTATATCAGTCTTTTTATCTGTTTTTACTCTCAATTAGAAATGAGATTGTTGTTGTTGTTGTTGTTATGTGCCGTCGAGTCGTTTCCGACTCATAGCGACCCTATGCACAACAGCCCT